GAGAGAATCGAGTTGAACTTGACATTGAGAAAAGTGTGAAGGTAAGAATAGTTTAACAAAAACCTCAAAAACAGTTGAAATTTGGGAGAGAAAGTGCTATATGAAATGCTTGAGAATCAAAAATATTTAAAGCTACATATGCTTAACACACATTTTGCTTTGAGTGTTAAGGCAAATAGTAAAGTGAAGCTCAGAAGTAGTTCAAATTATTTTGGTGTATTAGAATTTACAGATGTGTTTTGGAATATGAGTCATTAATTAAGATTTAGGAATACTTTATTTTAGTGATGGCTCAAGGTGACATTTTGGTTTAAGTTTTTCTCCATGGTATTTATTTTCTATTGGAGTTAGCTATTTGGTTAATTTCACCAAGAAAACTATTGACTATTTTTTTTTTTCTGATCTACTTTTCTCTTTCTGTGCACTGACCTAGTCTGAACTTCATGTGACTGTAATACTGAGAATTAACACCTAACACCTAATTTAGACCTTGTGATTTAACCAATATTATCTCTAAGTGACAGAGTTTTAAAATATTTCCCTTTTGATATTGAATGAGTGTGTGTGTGTGTATGTGTGTGTGGGAGGAGAGTTTGGAGGGGGACATTCAGAAGAAAAGGGGCCAATATGTGTATCAGGAATTGTATCTCATCTTTAACCCAGAGGATGATGTTTGGTGTCATTAGGAGCAGAGGGGTTTTTGGATGGTGGAGGAGCATGTATTTTTAGGATGAACTGCAGTTAAGAGTCAGGGATTGAATCTTGTACTCTTGTAGGCCTGGAAGAACCATTTCCCCTTTGTGAGGTTATAAGTGGTGAGATCAGGCAGGGAGGGTGTTGAAAAGGTACCTTTTTGTTTCCTTGCCTGGAGATTTCCTGAGGGGTTTCTGCTGGCTGTCCTGCAGGTCTGCTCTGCTTTGTGGGCAAGGTATGCCCTCTGTTCTCCTTCCAGGGGACTGTGTCAGTTCTTTGGATTAGGATCTAATCAAACTCTTCAGTGCTTGGATTTTACAAGTAATAAGTTTTTTCTACAGGGAATAGTAAAGCAGGGAACAAAAAATAGATCTGTGGGTAATGGTGTCATCTGGGAGATGACGCTGAAGTGATAGTTGAGGAGTTAAGCAACTTTTTCTTTCCACATTGAAAATGAAGTAAAATGAATGTCGTTTGCAGTACCAGGAGTAACTGGGTCTATTGGGTCAAGCAAATATAGCAAAACTTTATATATATGTATATATATATATATCTGTATCTATCTATCTATCTATCTATCTATCTATCTATCTATCTATCTATCTATCTATTAGAGGCCCAATGCACAAAATTCATGCATTGGGGCGGTTGGGGGGGTGTCCCTCAGCCCAGCTCGCACCCTTTCCAATCTGGGACTCCCTGGTGGGATCGGGCCTAAACGGGCAGTCGGACATCCCTCTCACAATCCAGGACTGTTGGCTCTCAACTACTCGCCTGCCTGCCTTCCTGATTTCCCCTAACTGCTCTGCCTGCCAGCCTGATCACCCTCTAACCACTCCCATACCAGCCTGATTATGTCTAACTGCTCCCATGCCAGCCTATTTGCCCCCAACTTCCCTCCTCTGCTGGCCTGGTCATCCCTAACTGCCCTCCCCTCCAGGATTGATCACCTCCAACTGCCCTGCCTTGCAGGCCTGGTCCCTCCCAACTGCCCTCTCCTGCTGGCCATCTTATGCTGGCCATCTTGTATCCACATCTTGGGAACAGATCTTGGACCACATGGGGGCAGCTATCTTGATCTTCTGTGTTGGAGTGGTGGTCAATCTACATATTACTCTTTTATTAGATAGGATAGAGGGCTGAATGCACGGGAGGGGGACAGCTGGTTTGCCCTGAAGGGTGTCCCGGATCTGGGTTGGAGTTCCCTTGGGGCATGGGGTGGCCTGGGCGAGGGGCCTGTGGTGGTTTGCAGGCTGGCTATGCCCCCTGATGACCCAAGTGGAGGCCCTGGTATCTGGAATTTATTTATTAAATTTTGTAGCCTGGAGTGGAGCCAAGCCTCCTGCTTAATCCGTGGCTGCTGCCATTTCTATAATTGAAACTTTGTATCCTTGAGTAGAGGCCTGGACCCACCAGAATGTGTGGAAAGCTTGGCTTCCTCTGTTGCCGGTTAAACCCAAGCCTCCCTTCTGGTAGCCATCATGGTTGGGTTTATTTGCATACTCACTCTGATTGGCTGGTGGGTGTGGCTGGTGGGTATAGCAGAGTGATGGTTAATTTGCATATTACTCTTTTATTAGGTAGGATATAATTGATTTCAGAGAGGAAGGGAGAGGAAGAGATAGATAGAAACATCAATGATAAGACAGAATCATTGATTGGCTGCCTCCTGCATGCCCCACATTAGGGATCAAACTCAAAACCTAGGCATGTGCCCTTAACTGGAATTGGACCTGGGACCCTTCAGATGGGTTGAGAATAATATGTGCTTATTTAATAATACTGTGGTTTAGTTGCATTAGAGTAACTCATTTAAATTTTAATTTTACTAGGTAGATTCTGTTATTTGCCCAATATTACAGAAGAAAAAAACTGAGGCATTTGGAGGTTAAATAACTTGCCCAAAGTCATGTAGCTAGTAAATGATAAAGTTGGGATTCATTTCTATTAAGTCTGAATCCAAAGCCTCTACTCAGTTTTTTTGAAAATCCTATTTTGATCTGTAACTATATCTCCTGTTGTGTAAGTTATTTGAAAACTTTATTTAATGATAAAATTGTTTAATCATTCTCTTAATTTTAGACATAAATATTGTGTTTAATTTGGTGCCTACATTTCCAGTTATATCTTTAGGATACATTTCTAGAAGTTGGTTCCTGTAAGGCTCTTTAAAATGTATCAATTTTCCCCAGGAAAGCTCAAATAATTTACAATCTGCATGTATTTTTAAAATTCCACATACAAGTATTTTTCAGTCCCATAGTGTTGCCTAAACCAAGGCAAACAGGAGAACTCAGGAACATTATCATGAAGATGATGGTTAGGATGATGAATCATAGAATGTTAGAGCTGGAAGGAACTCCAGGTATTACCTAGGCCATCTTTTCTTTTATTAATTAAGAACTAAGGCCCAAAGAGGTTAAGGACATGCCCCAAACCATAGCAGTAATTAGAGTCAGAGTTAGGAGAAGACCCTGCACTATGTGATCCATTGAGTGGTATTCTCTTGGATGATTCACATGGCTCATGATGTGCTTAAATGTCCGTTTGGGGTGTTGAGTAGAAAATCAAGAGAACTTTATCATCTGAGTCAGTTTCACAGTCCCCCTTGACATGTCACAGTTGTGTCAGGGAGATGTGGAAGTAACCCAAAGGGGTCTGCCCTGAATTAAGAGGCCCAATATCCACCCAGGGAGATAAAGAACTCTGCTGGGCCAGGGGAACACCAAAGTCCCCTTTCACGGTGAGATCTACAAGGCTGGGTCTGGACTCTCCCCTTCTTATTCCATAGATGGTACATTTGAACAAAGGGCTGCTCACGTAATTCAAAACTTGCACAATTCAAAACTGATTTTCTATAGTGCTGACCAAGAATGGAGAACATTTCTGTTTATTATTGCTTCAACATGCAGCAATTTACAATGGATTTGTCTTGGTATCTATCTGGGTTAACATCTGGGTTAAGCTGTTAAGCCTCAAAGTTCCAACGACTTGGCACAATAAAGAGTTGAACAAAATCTGAAGTGGGCTGGTTAGCCACCCTCTATGCTGCAGACATGCCATGTCAAGGTTGCCAAGACAGGGGAAGTTAAAGGAGTCAGATAGGCTCTTGCCTTCAGCCTGAAGGTATAAATGCCACGGACATTGGCCAGAACTAGAAACATGGTTCTGATTGGACCGGAGGCAGGCTGGGAAAAGTGTGGAAGAGCTTGGTGCACACTGATGGTGCACACTGATGGTCTCTTCCACACATTTGATTCTTGATACTTTGAAGTTACCCACTTTAAAAAATTTGTAGGGCCGAAACCAGTTTGGCTCAGTGGATAGAGCATTGGCCTGGGGACTGAAAGGTCCCAGGTTCGATTCCAGTCAAGGGCATGTACCTTGGTTGTGGGCACATCCCCAGTAGAATGTATGCAGGAGGCAGCTGATCGATGTTTCTATAATAACTCTCTTTTCTTCTCTGTAAAAAAATCAATAAAATATATTTTAAAAATGTGTAGGTATTTCTATATCATTTCAAGTTTTAAAGATATTAATTTAAACATTAAAAAAAAAAACACCTTTCATATTATGTTCCTTCACATATACTTAAGAAATCCTTTTGGGCTTCCTGTTAAAAAACACAAAATTTTTGCGTAATAGTTGTGAGATTTGGGTAAGTCTTTAGCTTCACTAAACCTGTATCCAATTTTTTTTAAAGTTAAAGAAATTTTATCTTGAATAATATACATATCATTAATTTTATTTTTCATAGTGCATAGTGTATGTAAGTACATAAGGAAAAATAAACATTAGGGATACCCATAAGTTGAAGTATTTGGGTGAAGAAGACTTTCAATATATCCATGAATTTGCTTAGAAGCATCACAGGACAGTACCCATTAGAAAATAATAAAAACCATGCCCCCCCCCCAAAAAAAATCCAAATTATGGTGAGTAAGTGCAGGCAGTAAAAATTATAGTTTCTTGGATATAAAAAGTTTATATGTTCTTTGGATTAAAAAAAAATATAAATGTGTGGCATGGATAATCTCTCATTCATAGGTATATTGTAAATACTAGGCTAGAGATCTCAGGTAAAACACCTGGCAAAAGGCCTAGAACAAGGTAAGTATTCAAAGACTGAGAAATTTTCTTCTCACTGATATTGATATTTCAGTGGATTTGCTACTGTTGACAGTAATATCATTTCCTTGGAATCAATGGTGTATCCATAATTATCAGAAGATAAGGAATAAGTGATGTTTGCCTAAGTTCTGGAAATAAAAGGTTTTCATCTTCTGTATGTTCTTATCTCAGTAATCATGGGGAGTTTCAAGGGTCATGCCCTCCCCGGAACCTTCTTCATCATCATGGGTATTTGGTGGACTCTAAAGTGCATTGTGAAGTATGTCTGCAGAAAACACAAGCGGACTTCCTATTTTGGCTCCAAGGCAGTATTCTATCGAGTAGATATTGTGGAGGGAATCACCATAATCGGCATGGCTGTAATTGGTGAGTGGACTATTTCAGTATTCTGTTTTCTCCTTTTGGCTATTTTCACATGCAAAGAGAAGATTTAATATTATGTCAAGAAATTGCTAAGTGAATTTTTACTTTAAGATACCTCTGGACATGTATTCTAATTGTAATTTCTATCTTATATAATTGTTAGAAGGTGATACTTCATATTACAAAAGTGTATTCCTTAGTAAGTTAGTCATGGTAATTAACTTACCTGCCCACTCAGGGTTAATTTCCTTTTTAGAATTAGCTGGAGCCTCTGAAATAATTTTATACCAAGTATTCTGATGCCTGAAAGAGTAAACTATCTCAGAAAGCATTTTTCAAAATGACCTCAAAATAATCAAGGGATCATGAGAGAGCTTCAGTAATAATTATTTTTAATAGTATGTACAAAGGAATAGGCTGAAGAAGCCTTGCCTTACTCATTCATTCTTTCTGTGTGATTTCTAAAATATATTTTATTGATTTTTTTATAGAGAGAAAGGGAGAGGGATAGAGAGTTAGAAACGTTGATGGGAGAGAAACATCGATCAGCTGCCTCCTACATACCTCCCAATGGGGATGTGCCTGTAACCAAGGTACATGCCCTTGACAGGAATCGAACCCGGGACTTTTCAGTTCGCAGGCTGACGCTCTATCCACCGAGCCAAACCGGTTAGGGCTCTGTGTGATTTCTAAGTTGGATTTGAAGGCTAGGTATGACGACTTCTAAGGCCTTTCCATTGACTATACGATTCTGTGAAAATGTTCTGTGTTGTTAGAATTTTACTTCAGTTTTGGCAAAACCTCCTAATATTCTTTTAGTTTTTTTCATGCTTAATTCATGGCCACCGCTCTTTGCTATGGCCATCAAATTCCAGAGCAACCATTTCCCAAGAGAGAAATTTCCACATCCAATTCTATAGATTAAGCAATAAAACAACATTTTTAAGAAAGTGCAACTGTTTGTGTAGCTGACCTGACCATAGGCCATGTCTGACTGTGCATTCTCAGTTATCCTTAACTGGGGAAAAGCTGAGCTCTAGCATTTTTATGCTATAAACCAAGCACAACTCCCTACTTTGTGGCAGCTATCCAGAGATATAGCGGGTAAGAAGGAAGTAATCAGTCCCCTCTGTGGGATTGATCTTACAATCGAATCCCAAATTATTCAGGACTCACTTAGTCATTAGATTAATGTAGGAACTAAAATCATCAGTGGAGCTGATCATGAAACTAAGTAGAAATAAGATCTTTAGCATTAAAGGTCTGAAACAGCTGTTTGACTGAATTGACTATCTTTAGTTAAAAGTGATTATCCAAACCAATATTTGAACCTCTGAAACAGGCCTAAACCACCCGTGTTCAGCTGTTAGGCAACAGCCCAGAAATAGGAATTAATGTCATTTAAAAGAACACTAGCTTGGACTAAGCACTGGGCTAATCCTCCTGCTTTCTCAGTCACGTTATGAAGAGACGGACTAAAATTTTAATTTGTTCTCCAGGTATGCTTGGGGAGCAGTTCATTGTTGGAGGGCCCCACTTGTCCTTGTATAACTACAAAGAAGGCCGGTGGGTCCAGCTCCTGGGCTGGCATCACACCACCATGTATTTCTTCTTTGGGCTGTTTGGCGTGATGAACATCCTGTGCTCCACCATCCGCTCACTTCCTACCTCTTTGAGCAAGTTAATGTTTTCCAATGCCTTATTTGTGGAGGGTAAGTATGAGTATTTTCCTATACCTTTAACTATTTTTGGATATTTTACTAGCCCTTTATAATAACATTCCTTTAGTGTCTTGGTGCAGCCTTGGTCCGTGGAGTTACCGATTTGGGCCATGGTGAAACTATTGGATGCCCTAGGTGGGGTGTCAAAGATTCTCCCTCCCTACTGACTCATTTAGTAAAGCTGAACAAGCACAATCATTCAAAGTGCTTTATCCACACATTTCACACCAAGAACCATCTGCCATAGTCATCTCTAGGTTATCCTGGAGATTATCATTATTTTGGCTTTTAAAGGTGAAATTGACCTCAACATAGAGAAACATGAATATCCTAAAATGAGGAGACACAGCAGAGTAGCGTCCACCACCTACTAACTAGCCTTTTTAATATTGAAATAGAAACAGTCCACCATTACATGATAAGTAGGGTCCAAAAAACTCAATCATATGAAAAGATGAGGTCCTGTTTTTGATAGATGAATGAAGAACAACATTTTTTGTTCTGTTGGTTGCCCTGTTACTGTATGGGGAAACACTGAAAACAAGTGGTTAGTGATTTGTTTTCATTTATTGTTATTTGTAAAGAATGACTTGATTGTGGAACTACAAAAGCCCCATAGTATCACGAGGCAGTCATTTCCCAACTCTCCACCTTGCCTGCTACACGTGAAGATAAGAACTTCGGTCAACCCCTCTTTGAGAACAAGGGCTGGGTAAAAGGTGGGCACCAACAACTGAGTCTTACTGCCTCAGGGTGTGACGATATTTTTAAGAAACATTTTTTTCTTCTTCATCAAAATGGAAAAAAGATGATGAGACTAATCTTTCCATGGGATTAAACAATGTAATTACCTACTAATTCTTGGGTGCTTCCAGAGCACCTAGTGATTCACGTTTGTATCTGCTTCCTCCAATAGACTGAATTCCTTAAGGCTTTCTCTCATTCATCCGTGCTCTCACCCTGATTTCTGCTCCCCAGACTCAGCATGGGCATTATTTTCCCTCCTGCATTGAAGATGCTTTGAGATATAGTTAGTTAAAAACGTCATTCTGTGTTAGAGGAGAGAATAAAGGCTGGGGAGGGGAAAGGAGTGTTAAATTTGAAAACATTCCATTCTGAAGAGGCAGCAATGACTCCTAAAATGCCATTATTATGGGAAGCTGGGAAGCAGTGGGCACCTGATAGTTGGAGCAGATGTGTGTGCGTGTAAAACTCTGTGGTGGGGGAGAGGGGAGAGAGAAACTGGTTTCATTAAAAAAAGACAAACCATCTCCCACCTCTCTTATCAGCTTTTATCTTCTACAACCACACCCACGGCCGGGAAATATTAGACATCTTTGTGCACCAGCTTTTGGTCATGGTCATCTTTCTGGCGGGCCTGGCCGCCTTCATGGAGATCTTCTTACGCGCCAACCTGACTGTGGAGCTTCTCCGCACGAGCTTCATTCTGCTGCAGGGGAGCTGGTTCTGGCAGGTGAGTCGGAGCCTCCAGTTCATGTACCCGTGTCTCCGCTTAGGATCTCCTCTCTTTGTTTGGTGGGGCTTGTTGCTCTAGAGCCCAGAGACTTCCTCCTGTGTGCTGCTGCCGTGGGAATGTGGGCCTCCAGCGAAACCGGTTTGGCTCAGTGGATAGAGCGTCGGCCTGCAGACTGAAAGGTCCCGGGTTCGATTCCGGTCAAGGGCATGTACCTTGGTTGTGGGCACATCCCTAATAGGGGGTGTGCAAGAGGCAGTTGATCAATGATTCTCTCTCATCGATGTTTCTAACTCTCTATCCCTCCCTCTTCCTCTCTGTCAAAAATCAATAAAATATGTTTTGAAAAAAAAGAAGAAGAAAAAAAGTGGGCCTCCAAGAGCAGCCCTGGTGGGAGCGAAGATAGAGCAGTGGGGGAAGGGGGGAAGGGGGGGGGGCGCGTCCGTCTTCATCACACACCTGAGTATGTGAGCTGGTGCTTTTAGTTGGAAGCAATTCCTTGATGCTAAATTAACTTACAGCCTGATGAGTGGTAAGCTCCAGAAAAATATGAAAGGCATGAAGCAATGATTTATTGAGAAACAACTAAGGGCCAGCCACTGTACAGGACTTCCACACACATTGCTTCATTATGTCCTTACAACGACTTGTACGTGAGGTATTACCACTCCCACGTAATCCGATAAGGGAGGCTCAAAGAGACCAAGTTACTTTCCCAGGATCACAAAATAGTGAAACGGGGATCTAAATGTGGGTGTCTGACGCCAAATCTCAGGTTCTTTCCATTTTACTCTGTCAAAGCCCTGACTTGGTGTGTGGTCGGAAAATTGTATTCCAATCAGTGAACATGTATTTTATAGAGAATGAGAAATCACAACCCAGTATCTACTGTGTTTCCCCGAAAATAAGACATCCTCCGAAAATAAGACCTAGCGCATGGAAAGATAAGACATCCCCTGAAAATAAGACCTAGCGCAACTTTGGGAGAAAAAATTAATATAAGACACTGTCTTATTTTCGGGAAAACAGGGTATATAGTGATGTGAAGGAAGTCTAGAATGGAAGGTAAATGTGGTTTAATTAGGAAAAACTTCTTAGAAGTGATTTTTAGTCACCAAAAAGCAGGGACTTGGGACCCTGAGGTTATTTCAGGAACTTGAATTTCCCACAAGGAATGAGAAAAAGACACCTCAAGCAAAGGGAGTAGAACATTCTGATCAAAATGGGGAGTAGGAAAAATGTGATATTTAAGCATATGGGGCGAGGAGTGGGTAGAAAGGCTGTTTGAGCAGGAGTTAGTAAAGAGAGGCTACATTTAAATGTTATTTCGAAGAAAGAACTATATTGGAAAAGCAACCAATGTCCTACAATGTGATAAAATTGATAATTGGTAATTTAACAAGCTTATTTACAGAAGTTTGTTTGTTTTTAAGATTATGTATCATCTGTTGGGAATCTAAATAGAATGGAATATAAAATGTTATTAAGCATTTTAAATCTCCTGGATGGACTGTTGTACCACGTGCATATATTATTACCTATTTACAAATAAAAATAAACTAAAACAAATTTTTTAATCCTCATCTGAGAATATTTTTCCATTGGTTTTTAGAGAGAGTGGAAGGGAGAGAGAGAGAGAAAGAGAAACATCGATTGGTTGCCTTAGTACATACCCTTGGCCAGAATCAATCCCAGAACCCTTCGGTATGCAGGCTGTGCCAAACCAGCCTGGGCTAAAAAGAAGGTTTAAAGATATAACTTCTGGTCAAGATGACACAGTGAGTTTATACGTCAGTGTATCTTCTCTGTTCCAAATAAATAGCAATGACAGATGCAATATCAAAACTACTTATAACATAAAAAATAAATTAAAAGAAGAAAATACAAACAAAAAATAATAAAGTAAAAAAAAAAAATACCTAGCTGCAATTGAATAGTATGGACAGAAACAGAGCAAGCTCCCTTGTGGACCAGACACAGAACAGAACTGCCCAGCAGGGGAAGTGCTGGGCTGCAGGCCTATAGCACACAGTGATGGCTGTGATTTGGTCCCAGGGGAACTAAACTAAACTAAACTAAACTAAACTAAACTAAACTAAACTAAACTAAACTAAACTAAACTAAAGGATTCCTCTTAAGGTGAGGAATGAAGCCAGGCTTTGGAACTCTTTGTATTGTTAATACCTGCTATATTCCATAATTTTTTTTCAATTAGAATTGACATTCAGCGTTATTTTGTATTGATTTCAGGCACACAGCACAGTAGTTAGACAATCGTGTGCTTTATAAAGTGATCCTCCTGGTATTTCCAGTACCCATGTGGCATAATTCCTAGTTATAATATTATTGACTATATTACCAATGCTGTATTTTATATCCCCATGATTATTTTGTAAATACCAATATATACTTCTCAATCCCTTTACCCCATTAATATCTTTGACAGATATTTCTGGGATTGTCAATTTCTCTTTATCTTTGAGTTTTTGCTTTGATGTTATTAGACTGCATTCTGCTTCTCTCTTTAAGTTTTTTTTAGATGAATGCTTATTTATTTGCAGCCATTCTTGTTCTTAAAACAAACAAACAAACAAACAAACACACTTACCGAAACTGATTTGGCTCAGTGGATAGAACGTCCGTCTGCGGACTAAGTGGTCCCAGGTTCGATTCCGGTCAAGGGCATGTACCTTGGTTGTGGGCACATTCCTGGTGGGGGGTGTGCAGCTGGTTGATGTTTCTCTCTCATTGATGTTTCTAGCTCTCTATCCCTCTCCCTTCCTCTCTGTAAAAAAATCAATAAAATATATTTTTAAAAAACCACTTAAGGTTATAGATTTTCCTCTACACACTACTATAGCTACCTCTCTTAAGATTTGATGTGTGATAATAGTGTTCATTCTTGGGCAATTTTGAATGTTGCATTTTCCATGTGCTTTCTTCTTTAATATATGAGTTATTTAGGAATGTGGTATTAAGTTTCCAAAAATATTTTTCTTCTTATTATTATTTCTTTCCAGTTTAATTACTTTGGGTCAGAGAATGTGCTCTCTTTGAAATGTGTTGAGACTTCCTTTAGGACATAGCCCGGTGTCAAATGTTTCATGCATTTAAAAAGAAAGTGTATTCTGTCCTTTTACTACTTCAAGTTTGTTAAAGAATCATAGATGGGCCTGGTTGCTACTGACCTGGCTGCTCCGGGCCTGGCTGCTGCTGTTCTGGGCCTGGCTGCTGCTGCTCTGGGCCTGGCTGCTGCTGCTCTGGGCCTGGCTGCTGCTGCTCTGGGCCTGGCTGTTGCTGCTCTGGACATGGCTGCTGCTGCTCTGGGCCTGGCTGCTCCTGACCCGGCTGCTCCGGGCCTGGCTGCTGCTGCTCTGGGTCTGGCTGCTCCCGACCTGGCTGCTCTGGGCCCGGCTGCTCCAGGCCCAGCTGCTCCAGGCCTGGGTGCTCCGTGCCTGGCCACCCTGGGCTTGGCCGCCTCCTCTCGGGGCCTGGCTGCCACTGCCCCAGGTCTGGCTGCTCTGAGCCTGGCTGCTGCTGCTCCGGATCTGGCTGCCACTGCCCTGGGCCTGGCCACTCTGGGCCTGGCCGCCGCTGCTCCAACATTCTGTTCTTTTTTTTTTTTTTTTTTTTTTTTTTTTAAACCCATTTATGTTGCAATGTTGGCTGCTGAGTTGAGTTCTGTCTTAGTCTTCGATTTTTCAAGATCTTCTTTGTATTCTTTCTTAAGTAATTTTACTATCTTTTGCTATAACTTGATTTCTTCACATTGAAAACTTCTTCAGTTTCTTCCTCCTTGTCCTGGAAGCTCAGCAGGCTGGCCTGCTGCGCCCCTTTGTTCTTTGCGGCCTCCTGCTCAGCTCCAGCCTGTTGCCGGGGTCGGCACCACCCAGGAAGCAGCCCCCAGCCTCGTCTCTGTGGCCCGCGATCAGCAGTCCAGGGCCCAGCGGCATCCCCCCTTCCCCCTCCTACCCCGGAGACCCTGTCGCCCAGCTCCTTGCTGGCGCCTGGCTGGCCAGTGTCCGGCAGAGGCTCCTGTTCCTCATCGCGTTCTTCCGAGTCTGGAGCTTTTTTCTCCTTCCTGCTAGGGAAGTCTAGCATCAGAGTCAACAGACTGTCCTCTGCGCGCAATGTGTGTGACTCCGAGGATTCTGCCCCTCTCTGCTCCCCTGGGACTCTGCCTCACAGCCCTGACTGCTTCTGTTTGAGCCTGGGTTCCCAGGGTCTGGCCTAGAACTGGGGTTCAGAGCAGTCCGAACTGGGGCCCAGCACTGCCGAAGCTCTTGTTTCCTTCCTGCCAGGGCAATCTAGCATCAGAGTCAACATTCCTTCATTTGCGTACAATGTGCGCTACTCCGGGGGCTCCGCTTTTTGCTGCTCCCCTGGGATTCTGCCTCACAGCCCCATCTCCCCCTGCTTGAGCCTGGGTCCCCAGGGATTGACCTATAACTGAGGTTCAGAGCAGTTGGAACTGGGGCTCAGCACAGCCGGAAGTTTGGTTTCCTTCCCGCTAGGGCAATCCAGCATCAGAGTCAACATTCTGTCCTCTGTGCGCAATGTGTGCGATTCCGGGGGCTCCGCTTTTCGCCGCTCCCTGGGATTCCGCCTCACAGCTCCGTCTCCCCCTGCCTGAGCCTGGGTCCCCAGGGTCTGGCCCAGAACTGGGGCTCAGTGCTGCCGGTTCTGGGGTTCAGCCCAGTCCGGGGCTTTTATCTTCTTCCAGCTAGGGAACGCTAGGCAAGCACTCAGCCTTCTCCTCCTCTCCAGCTCCGTCCTTTCTGCGCGTGCACGTAGAGCGCAGAGCATGTCTCTGTACCTTAGGCTTTTTCAGCTCCTCTGATTTTCCTTCTGGTTTTCTCTTTCCTTCTTGTTGTAGAATTTTCAGTCAGTCAACTACCTGTATCTCTGGGCAATGTCCACTCTACATTTTAGTTGTATTCCATTGAAATTGCTGTGTGCGCAGCTGCAGTTAGGTGTTTACCTGTTCAGCCATCTTGGATCCTCTCTATTTTATTCTTTTCAATGCTATTGAAAGTGGGTGGAATTCCCCCCCCTCCCCCATTTAATTTGGATTGCTCATTGCATATGGAAAATGCATCTGACTTTTGTATGTTGATTTTGTAAACTTGCAAGTATGCTGAATTAATTTTGTAGCTCTAACGGTTTTCCTTGGTGTGGATTCTTTAGAGTTTTTAATATTTATATATGTTATCTGTGAATATAAATAAATTTACTTCTCCCTTTGCAATCTACATGCCATTTATTTATTTTTCTTGCTTAATTGTTCTGATAGAATTTCTAGTATAATGTTGAACAGAAGTGGTGAAATCAGACATCTTGTCTTAATCTTTGGGGAAAAGCTTTCAGCCTTTCATCATAAATATAGTGTTAGCTGTGGGCATTTATTTATTTTAAAACCTTTCTGTATTCTAATTTTGAAGTAACCAAGTGAAACTGCACAATTTAGAAACCTAGCACATTCTCTGAATGTCCACCAATCCTCAGAGGTGATTACTATGCATATCTTAAAACCGATCTTTAAATGTCCTTACATTTTCCCCCAAAAATATGACCTACTAGTACTGTATATATTACTAAAACAGACAATAAAACCTGATGTCTTCTCTGTATATTACAGATAATGGGAAGTTGTCTTGGTTACCATTCCTCTTGGAACCAAACATGTTGAAATGTGGCTGATTATTTTAATGTGTGTTTTTGTTTTAAATTGCAGATTGGTTTTGTCCTTTATCCCCCCAGTGGGGGTCCTGCATGGGATCTACTGGATCATGACAACATTATGTTTCTCACCATATGCTTCTGTTGGCATTATGCGTTCACCTTTATCATCATTGGAGCACTTTATGCTTTTGTCATCTGGTAAGTTAGTAATTTTTGTTCATGGAAGTTCTATTCCTTGATATATGATCAACAAGACTTGATAGTATGAACTTAAAATTATAGGGGATTTTATTCCTTAGCATTCCACCAGACAGTGTCATATAGAAAAGTATCTGCAAACATGGGAATTTCCAATAGAAAGAATAAATGCTGGTTTAAAGTTATAATAGCTCAGTGTGTCTGCTGTGCCTCTGAGCTATGACTCACCTTTCAACACACTCTTCTGTGCCTCCATGCATTTGCATATGCTCTTTCCTCTTATAAATGGCCCTTCCCACACCTGCAGTGACTGAGCCCTCCATTTGCCCAGGCATATATCAATTATAGTATTTCCCAAGCTTGGTGTCAATTAATATATATATAATATATATTTTTTTTTCAGAGAGGAAAAATATATATATTTATTGATTTCAGAGAGGAAGGGAGGAGAGATAGAAGCATCAATGATGAGAGAGAAGCATCAATGGGCTGCCTCCTGCACACTTCCTATTGGGAATCAAGCCCACAACCCAGGCATGTGCCCTGACAGAGTTCATAGGTCAGCACTCAACCACTGATCCACACTGGCTGGGTCTTTTTTTTTTTTTTTTTTTAATGAATAGTTTGTTGATTTTCAGAGAGAGAAGGAGAAAGTGAAACATTGATTGGCTGCCTCCTGAAGGCCCTTCTGGAGATTGAGCCTATAATTTGTCACGTGCCTGTGACTGGGAATTGAAATGGAAATCCTTTGGTGTACTGGAGAATGGCCAACCAATAACACACACTGGCCAGGGCTGGTGTTATTTTTTGACCAACATGTTTGTCTCCCATTAAATTTGAGTACCTGATTACTTTGACACCTTTTCTAATACTAGAGGCCTGATGCATGAAGATTCATGTAAGAATGGGCCTTCCTTCCTCTGGCTGCCAGCACTGCCTTTGCTCCTGCCTTTGATCAACCTTTTGGCTCCTGCCCAGAGTCGCCTTTTTGCCTTCCCACGTTGCTCAGAGGCCCAGAGTGGCTGGGGCGGTACGGAATGCATGCATTGTTGCCATGGTGACAACACAAATGTCCTGCCCTCCGCCCCACTGCCTGTGTATTCAAATTAACCCGCCATATTTGTTGGGTTAATTTGCATACTCTCTCCTGATTGGCTGGTGGGCGTTGCAAAGGCACCGTCAGTTTGCATCTTACTCTTTTATTAGTATAGATTTGAGTCCCAGTGGATGAAAATTCATGCATTGGGGAGGCCCCTCCGTCCAGCCTGCCTCCTCTCACAGTCCAGGAGCCCTCAGGGGATGTCCTACTTTGAAGGCTTGGGGAGTGGGCCTAAGCCCCAGTCTGACCTCCCTCTGCAGGAGGCAACCAGCCAACCAGGGGAAGGCACCACCCCCATCACCTCCTTGCTGCTGCTGCTTGCCAGCTGGGGCACTGTGGTTGTAAGGTCTGAGCTCCGGGCCTTGCAGCTGCCAGGGTTCATGGCTGCCAAAGCCCATGGCTGCCAAAGCTCATGGCTGCCTGAGCCTGGGCCTCGCAGCCTCCGGGGGTCTCACGGCTGGCTGAGCCCACTGCCCTTGCAGTCACTGCTGTGGCTGCTTGTCTTGAGCCCTCACAGCCGCCACCATGGCTGTCTGCTTTTGGCCTTCACAGCCACTGTGGCTTTCTCTGGAAGGATGTTTGGAAGACATCTGCTCCAATTAGCATATTACCCTTTTATTAGCATAGATTTCTAAAAGTAAGATTCTGTGCATGTTTTTACAAGAACCCTGATACAATATTTTATGATGGGTGAGGAGCAATAGAGCAGGTTGATAAGAACACATATTCCTCGTTCTGTTGTTATCAGCTGTCTGACTTTGGGCAGATTAGCTATAATAGGTCTCAGTTGTTTTGTTTGCAAAATGGGGATAAAAGTAGTACTTAAATAAGATCATGCATTTAAACTGCTCAGAACATAATAAGAGCTCAATGAAAGTTATACTTATTGTTCTTGTTCTTTTTGCTATTCTTATTCATGTTCTTCTCCTGTATAAAAAATGTGTAAGTGTAGACCCTGTGGGGAGAGACAGACAACTTAAATACAGTGCAATAAGTGGAAATAGTAGAAGAAAGCACGATTGGAACTCAGAGGAGGCCTCCTCACAATTGAGAATTAAGCTGCAGTTTGAAGGATGAGTAGGACCAGGAAAGGGTGAACATGGGTCCTCTCTCCAAGGTAGCTAATACCAAACCATAAGCGGCCTGACTGATCCTAGCTACTAGGCATGCAGCCAGCAATGCGTAATCCTTTGATTGAAATATTCTTTATCTGCAGCCTTCATTATGGTAGCCATGAGCTACATGTGATTTTTGAGCATGTTGACATGTTCCTAATGTCACATTAATTTTAATTAATTTAAATATCCATATTCATAGTGGCCACCATAGTGGACAGTACACATCTATCAGGTTCCCTAGATTTTAAAAATTCAGCAGCTGCTTTTGGCCTAGTGGGGTCTCAACCTCTGCCTCCTATATTTCTACTCTCAGACTTCTAGCTTTTTACTCCTCTCTTTAAACTTGTCCCTCCCCCTCCTTCTCAGTTACCACCCTCCCCCGCCTCATCACCTCTCCTGCTCTGTGCTTCTTTGAGTTTCTGAAGTAAGGAAACCATTGGTTCTCCGAGTAAAGAAACCATTAAGAAAGGACTCCCAGATGTCTCTGCTAGGCTTTGGGTCAGCCACTTTGATTCATAGTTTCCTTTTTAAGTGCTTTGGGTGCTGGAAAATTTTATCTTCCCATTGACTAATTTCTATAAGTCCTATTCCATTCCCCCAAAGTTTGTGCCTGAGCTGGTTGGTAAGGCTAGCTCTGCTATTGAGTGAAACTTGGCTTCTCCCTCTGTTGTTCTAGGCTGACATCTGGGCCTCATCTCCTTAGGGGCTGGGCAGCCTCCAAGACCAATGCCAACATTCAGGGACCCTCTCTGCTACATGTCAGCTCCCTTTCAGAGCCAAAAGAAGATTACTGTCTTTTCCTGTTTCAGAAACCTTCAGACCCTTAATCATTTCATATCTGCTTACAATTCTCTAGGAATGCCATGTTTATTTTCAACCTCTGCCTCCCCTCTCTTTAACCTTTTGACCTTGTAGTTTCCTCTACCTGGCATATCAAATTAAATGTCAATCTCTTCTACAAAAACTACTGTGATTATCCTAGCCTTAGCTTATCCCCTTCAAGAGTTTTACATCACTTTAGTCTCTATGAAACATTTGAACAACTGTGGTCTTGTGTGATGTTTGTGCTTTAGCTCATGTTAGTTTTAGCTGTTAGATTGTGTTGCCTTGATGGAAATACTTTTTCATGTTTTTCTCACAGTTCCTGGGACACTGTCAAACATATAGTAGGTGCTCAATAAACAATCTGTTTTAATATTAATAGATCTGTTTCAGAGTTATTGAATTCAGGCTTCATTTGTTCGGAAATCATGTTTTATATGCTTATCAGTTTTGTTCTCATATCTCTTGAACATATAAGACTGGGAGCTCATGTTCTGACATTTTGATATAATCTTAAGCAATATCTTAAAAAATATCACGAAGAGTCAGTACCGTACAGACTTGTAGTGAGGTCACATAGGCTAATTCAGTCTCATAATCACAAGGCTCTTTGAAAGACTCATTGTCGGGGTTTGACTGTGGAATAGCTTATGACTTGGTGAAAGGTGATGGATTTTCAGGACATTGTATGTTTGACATAGCACAAAGATTACCATGGCAGCAAAATGGAGTTATGAGACCCCAGCTCTCTCCCTCCCTCAGCCCTCCCCCAACCCCATCCAAGTCTTTGAAAAATGAAGCTGTACTTCCCAGTTTTTTCAAGACAAATGGTTCAAAGATTGCTTCATCCAGTCCCATGCCTGCAGTCTTGATTATGACAGCTCACAGGAGAAACTTCTCTGTGTGGAAATCTTATTACATGTTTTACTAAATTTCATATTTATTTTTAAAAATATGTTTTTATTGATTTTAGAGAGGGGGAGAGGGATACAGAGAAACATCAATGATAGAGAAACATCAATTGGATGCCTCCTGAATGCCCCCTATTGAGCATTGAGCCCACAACCTAGGCATGTGCCCTGACTGGGAATTGAACTAGGAACCCCCTGATTCATGGATTGATGCTCAACCATGGATCTATGCCAGCTGGGCTAATTGTCATATTTAAACACACCTGTTGCACAGAGCTATTTCAAAAGCCATTCTCTATGGGTTAAAAAATATTGCCCATTTTTGAAACTGGACAACTAATGGTTTTGGGCTGCTTGTCACTACTTGAGCCACGTAAGCACAGACAGGGTTGAATCATATATAAGCATTTATCCCAATTTTGCGCATAAAATTCATGCACAAGGGTGTGTGTCCCTCAGCCCAACCTGCAACCTCTCCAATCTGGGACCCCTCGAGGGATGTCTGACTGTCTAGTAGGACTGGGCCTAAACAGGCAGTTGGACATCCCTCTCACAATCTAGGACTGTTGGCTCCCAACTGTGTGCTGCCTGCCTTTCTGATTGTCCCTAACTGCTTCTGCCTTCCAACCTGATCACTCCCCTGCCAGCTTGATTGTCCCTAACTGCCCATGCCTGCAAGCCTGGTTCTCTCCAACTGCCCTTCCCTGCCGACCCAGTCACCCCTAACTGCCCTCCCCTGACAGCCTCATTGCCCCTAACTGTTTCCCTTCCTGGTCTGGTTCCCCCCTCCAACTGCCCTCCCCTGCAGGCCCAGTTGCCCCCAACTTCCCTCCTCTGCCAGCCTGGTTACCCCTAACTGCCCTCCCCTACCGAGTTGATCACCCCCAACACCCTCCCTTTCAGGCCTGGTCCCTTTCAACTGCCCTCCCTTGCAGACCTGGTTCCTCCCAACTGCTCTCCCCTGCTGGCCATCTTGTGGTGGCCATCTTTTGTCCATATGGGAGCATCCATCTTTGACCACATGGGTGCAGCAATCTTGTGTGTTGGAGTGGTGGTCAATCTTCATATTACTCTTTTATTAGATAGGATAGAGGTCTGCACAGGTGGGAGCTGGCTGGTTTGCCCTGAAGGGTGTCCTGGATCAGGATCGAGTTTTCTTGGGGTGTGGAGCCGGTGGTGGTTTTCAGGCCAGCCATGCTCCCCTCCCTCCCTTCCCCTCTCCCGGTGACCCAAGCATAAGCTGGAAGCATGTATCTGGGATTTATTTATCTTCTATAATTGAAACTTTGTAGCCTTAAGCAGAAACCAGGGCAGACCAGGGTGGGGGAAGCTTGGCTTCCTCCATTGCCAGGGGAAACCCAAGCCTCCTGCTTGCTCCAGCTCCCGTGCCACCACCATCTTGGTTGGGATAATTTGAATACTCACTCCTGATTGGCTGGTGGGCATGGCTTGTGGGTGTAGCAGAGGTATGGTCAATTTGCATGTTTCTCTCTTATTAGATAGGATGCTGAGAGCATCAGTATGGGAGAGCAGCAGGTCATCCACAAAAAATCTGCTCTCCAATCTCTTATAAGCCAGCTGTTCATATTGGTTAGGACAAAGATTACATGGGAAAGTAGGAATTATAGGCATGGGGAAATAGGCAATGGGGATTGGGGATGAGACTCCATTTCTTTTTTCTTTTTTCTTTTTGGCAACAAGGTTATTAATCTTTACATGATATTAGGAAGTTCTTGAATGAGAATGGACTGCATTCCAAGGTTGACACCCAGGTCCAAGGCTGATTGCCAGGTCCAAGGTTGACTCCCATGTCCCAAGGGTGTACAACTCCCAGCCAGATTAGCATGTCCTTTCTTCGATCAGAACAAGACAATCATGATTTACAGAGCATGATTAATATTTTATTTTTGACCCTAACATTTTCAAGTTGGTTTTCTAAGCAATGATTTATGTGAACTATTTTGAAGAACAAAATATAGATGACACAATGCCAGGCATATGATAATTTGACTTTTGGAAGTTTGATTTCCAGATAGATTCTGGAAGTACACCCAGAGTCTCAGCTCAGCTCTTCCTCATATTAATCCAGAGGAACACAGGCAAACAAAAGCCAGACACACCTTGACTGTATTTCCCTGAATTTGCATCATTCCAGGAACTAGTAATTATTTGCACTTCCTCTTACGCCATCCCTCAGTCTGTATCCAGTGGCTGTTTCTGCATGTGTCAATACCTAGAGCTACAAGGTACAGATAGAGCCTATTTCAAGTATGTGAATATTCATCCTCATGGCTTGAAGCAATAGCAGATATAATCCAGAGAGGAGGAAGGGGAGAAAGGAAAAATCAGTAGGGTCTGTGTTAGCAATTACTTTGTAGTAAGTAGCTGTGTCTTTGTTTTATTTTTTACAAAACTTATCAGGAATGAATCTAAGAATAAATTAACTAATTAATGAATTTCATTTAGCATGCATTGAAGTTGTACAGTGTGGAGAAACTGTTTTGTTTTGTTTTTAAATGACACAAACGCTGTCCCAGACGTTAAGACTACTAGCTTTTCATGAGAACAATGCCTTGAAGAGTTGAGGATATTGGAAGCAGCATCAATTGTCAATTAATAATTAAGACAAGTGATTTTGAGTTTTCTTTGGCTCTTGATGAGTCAACAAATGTTACTAAATACTGCTCAGTGGTTGTTATATATTGGAGGAATTAGTATTGAATTGGAGGTGACTGAAGAATTATGAATTATCTATGAATAGGTGAGTGATATGAACTCCCGGTAGACTGCTTCAAAGGCCATTGATTTACCAAATGTGTGTTGAGCCACCATTATGTGCCAGACACTATTCTAGACTTTGGTTGGGATTAGGGCTGTAAGTAAGATGATGACTCTGCTCTTATTCTAGTGGGACCCAGAGCACAAGTAAAGAAAATGTGTTATATTGTAAATCAGAAGATGCCTTAATCAATAAGCCAAATTTATTTGGAGCCCCTTTCATTTCGCTAGTGCTAGTGGGTCCAGAGGAAATCTTGCTTCTCAAATTCTGGGGCCCAATATAGTGGAGGTCTTTCCTATTAATATGTTTTTCAGCTCTTTGTTTTTTCCAAATTTGGAACAAGACTTCTGGACCTTCTGAAAAAAAAGTCCCGTGTGCTGGGACAGGGCCATGAGACCGTATCTCAAGGCATGGCCTGGTGCCATCACTGACAACACTGTCTGGGGAATAGTTTATGGCCTCTCTGGAATGGAAGTAGTCTTATTTTTCCTTATTATTTAAGCAAGCAAATGTTTACAGAGGCCAGAATAGCAGGGTTAAAATTTTAAACAGCAGTTTTTTCCCAAGACGGAGATTACTATGCTTCAAATGCATATTGATAGAGGCAGGCCAGACCTTGATTAGAAGAAAAAGAAAGGCAGATAATAAGGGTAAAGATGCAGACAGGCTAGGGGAGTTTTTCATAAAGTGAGAATGATTTTGATGATTTGGTTTATCAAGTTTGCTTGTATATTCCCATGTATTTCTGGAAGTTAAGTATGTTTTATTGATATGGTCACAGTACAATGTCTTTACAAATAATCCTGCACAAAAAACACACACACACAACTTTTTCTAAATATTAATACATTAGAGAAAGGGAAAGCCTGCTTAATTTCTGCTCCTAAGAAGCTTAGTACCTTCCAATGTCAAAAATTACAATTGCTGCTTCCCCCAATCCTACAGATTCTCTTTACGAAAACAAGGGTAGAGTGCACTTTTAACTTGGATCACCGTATGCGGTGGCCAGCCTGTGGCCTGCACAAAAGCACCTCTCTGAAGGCTCGAGTGGGGGATCATTAAAACCCAAATTTGACAAGGGGAAGAGATAACTTTATGCACTTCCTTTCAGAAGAGGGCTCCTATTTATAACACACAGCTGGATGCAGACTTGGAAAAGCTTTGCTGAGCTTGGTTTCATAAGGCTTCCTACAACCCAGAGATTGTCTTGTTTGTTTTAGAAATGATAAAAGTTCTGAATAATTAGGCATCTTCTGATGCATCATCAAATAATCATGCTGTGCATTCAGAAGCTACCTTGAATCTGTTTGCTTGTTATACTTTACTTTAATAAAAACAAACAAACAACCACACAATTTTTAACTGATGAATGGAGTGGATCTAGAGACATGGAAGCATGGAATAGAGCGCGGAATCTCAGAGGGAAGGTGGGGGAGGGTGGGTGGGAGGTAATTAACCAAGGACATAGTATGCATATATCTATGGCCCTTGGATACAGACAATGGGATCATTGGTGAGGGCCAGGGGCAGGGAGTGGACTGGAGGGGGTCAATGGGGAAAAATGGGGGACAAATGTAATACTTTCAACAATTAAGAATTGTTTAAAAACAATAAAAAATAAATAAAAATTTCAGGTACATCCAAAGCCAAATAAAAGTGATTTTCTCTTTTGGGGTGCCTCTCGAATTTGCACAAGTAATTTGGAGTTTGTTAGAAGTACATATTGCTCTGGATTTTTAATCTTAAAGAACATAATGTGAAATGCCTTTCATTCTTCTCAGGTTGGTTAAAACTCGACTTAATAGGACCTGCCCCTCAGAGGTTGGACTCCTGAAAAATGTTGAACGTGAACAAGAATCAGAAGAAGAGATGTGATTTTGATGGGCATTTAGTCTTTTCGGATGAATTTTTCCTTTTCTTTTTCTTTCTTTCTTTTTTTTTTTTTTTTTTTTTTTTTTGCATTGTTTTTGTTCATGGTTTTGTTTCTTGATCTTTTGTTTGGCTAAGGATCATTCTTGGTGTACTGGTTGTATTTTGAATTTTATTAAAGTATTTGAATATTAATGTTTTATTTTATTTTAGATGATAAGTTCATTTTGCACATCAGCCTTGGTATTCAGGGCTTATGGTGACTCTTCCAAGGTCTTCTAAAGTTTGATGCCCATGATATGACAAACATTTGTTTTATTTGCCTTATATGTATACTCAAGGTTCTTGGGATTGCTACCATTTGTACTTGTTAAAAATGGGATTACACTTGTTTGTCTTATTGCAATGAGAAATAAATGAATACCTCAAATCTTCATTTTTGTTATTCAACTGCACCCCTCCTTTATATCATGAAGAAAATGCTGTGTGACACTGAAATTCCCTTTTTGATGAGACTTGTCTTTCTGTAACACCTGCTTTCTCCTCTAGGAAAAGTGAGCCAGAGTCTTTTTGAGTTGTGTACTCTTTGGAAAAAGATAAAGGGGATGATCCCTGGAACATATGGTTGCAAAGCCATAAGAGACTGGGAAAGGAGAGTCATGATATTATCTACAGGGTAAAAAGTCATCAATAGCATAGCGTGGCCGCCATAGTTGAGGGGTTGAGACAAGGAATAGCCTTTTATGGAAAATCTGGATAAAAAGTCAGAGCCCTTGCAAAGTCTGTGGGCTAAATAGAACTTAGTGGAGAATCAAGAAATCTTGTTTCTAATTCTGGCTCTACCATTAACCAGCTTCTAGGATTTGAGCAGTCATCATGTCCTCTCAAAAGTAAGGGAATTGAGTTGGATGAATCATAGGGCCCTTTCTGAATGTCATATGTTATAAATCTAGAGTCTCTGAGACAAAACTGAAGCATGGAGATAGCTAATTTTGTACAATGTCAATCTCTGCCCTCAGGAATCCTTGAGCGATGACTCAAATATGGAGGAAAAGAGGCGGCCTCATAGTCAGCTGAAGGTGAAATGTGGGCAGTTAAATCCTGCAGGCGCCCTGGCATTCCAGAAGCACTGACAAATCTAGGGTGCTGCCCCATTCTGGTATGATCACAGAGACACTGAAGAGGAAAGTGAATGGATTGTTTAGGCCAAAGAACTGGACACATTCATTTTTTTAAAGATTAATTTGACTCAGTCATTTAAAAATTTTCCTTTTCAACTAACAAATATTTCTTTCTGCTTAAATTATCCTATATAATAAAAAGGTAATATGCAAATTGACTCTCATGCTCTCAAAAGATGGCTGCCTATGACCAGGTTGGCAGGTCAGTGAGGGATGATCAAATGACTGAACAAGCAGGCTGCGTGGGACAACCAGGCCGAAAGAGGGGGTTAGTGAGGAATGACTAAATGACTGAACAGTAGGCTGCATGGGGCTACCAGGCTGGTGGGAGGGGCAGTTGGGGGTGACCAGACTGGCAGGGGGGCCAATAAGGGATGACCAAGTCTGTGGGGGGGAGGGGGCAGTTAGGAGTGACCAGACTGGCAGGGAGGAGGCAGCTGGGGACGATCTGGCTGGCACTGGGGGGCAGTTACAGGTTAACAGGCTGGCAGGGCAGGGGGAGTAGTTAGGGATGATCAGGCAGGCAGGCAGGTGAGCGATTAGGAGCCAGCGGTCCAGGATTGTAAATTTGGCCTAAACTGGCAGTGGGATATTCCCTGAGGAGTCCTGGATTGAAGAGGGTACAGGTTGGGTAGAAGGGACACCCTATGCATGAATTTTGTGCACTGGGCCTCTAGTTAGTTTATAAAAGTGATTAGAACCCCAGGAAAGCATTTAGGAAGGTCTAAACAATACAATATAGAGGGTGATCATCTATAGCTCACTGTTCTTATATGCTCTTGTTCTGAGTGTATTAATGAAAAAACTGAAAATACAAATGTTATTGAATAAATGAGTAACTAATTTCAGATATTCGGCATTCCTTCTATACACAGTAGCTTTTCTATTCACCAGTTTTCAGATACATTTATTTTTTTTAATGTAATGGTTGAAAACAATTGATGTGGGTCCTTAAAGATTGATCTTGAGCAATGCAATAAAACCTATTGCATTTATGGCATGTGAAAGGCCCACAGTCATGGCCCTAAGGAAATCATGGCCTTCTACCTCATGTGTGTCCTCCATCTCAGGGGTCTCTTCTACTCTGCCAATTTTCTATGACTTTGGCAACTTTGTGCTTCAAAAGAGCAAGCCATCAGAATCATGATAGGATTAAAAAGTACAAATTCATAGTTATAAAATTGTCACAGTGATGTAAAGTTTAGCATAGGGCATAGTATAGTCAATAATCCTATATAATAAAGAGATAATATGCAAATTTACCTTCACTCCAACACACAAGATGGCCGTCCCCATGTGGTCAAAGATAGCCACCCCCATATGGACACAAGATGGCAGGCAGGGAAGGGCAGTTGTAGGTGATCAGGCCTGCAGGGGAGGGCAGTTAGGGTAGACCCAACCCTGAAGGGCAGGGCAGTTGTGGATGATCAGGCCTGCAGGGAAGGGCAGTTGGGAAGGACCAGACTTACACGAGAGGGCAGTTGGGGGCAACCAAGTCTGCAGGGGAGGACAGTTAGGGGTGACCAGGCTGGCAGGGGAGGTCAGTTATGGGTGACCTGGCTGGCAGGGAGCAGTTATATGTTGATCAGGCTGGCAGGGGAGTGGTTAGGAGGTGATTGGGCTGGCAGGCAGAAGCAGTTGAGGGCAATCAGGCAGGCAGGCAGGTAAACAGTTGGGGGCTGACAGTCCTGGATTGTGAGAGGGCCATAGAACATCCCTCAAGGGGTCCCAGATTGGAGAGGGTGAAGGCTGGGCTGAGGGACAAACCCTCCCCCCCACCCCCATGCATGAATTTCATGCATCAGGCCTTTAGAGTATTGTAATAACTGTGTATGGTGTCAGATGGGTACTAGCTTTATTGAAATGATCACTTCCAAAGTTATAGAAATGTCTAATCATGGGTTTATACTGAAACATATAATACTGTATGTCAACTGGAATTTAAAAACAAAGAAAAAGAAAAAGGAAAAACAAGTGTGAACCATCAGCTGAAGTTACATGAAAATGTCATTGCTGTATGTAGACCTGAGCAGGAATTCTAGGAATAATTATCATGAGCCAGATTAAAGCTAGAATATTGAAAACTGATAAATGCAAATATTCCAACAGTCTTTATAAAAAAGTAGAAATGTCCATTCCTCGTCTCTGCTTGGAGAGAATATGAGTGAGATGTAACCCATGAGCTATCAGAGGTTCAGTTCTAAGTCTACAGTCTGGGGCTTTCTGTTTCTAGTCCCTGAAATCAGCAGTATTTGAACATTATTATTATAATTTTACTAGAGGCCCAGTGCATGAATTCATGCATAAAATCGGGGCAGATTGGGGCTAGGCCTGTCAGGAGGAGGAGACAGTGGGAGGTTGGTTGGTGAGATACCCCGATTGGGGACTCATCAGGCCAGGCTGGGTGAGGAGAGGGGCCAAGGGCAATTGGCTAGCAGGCCCCACACCTGATTTGAGTTGGGGGGGGGCAATTTGGGGTGGGGCTGAACATGGGGAGGGGCTGTGAGCTGGCACCACCCCAGAATGGGGTGTGGTAGCCCATTGGGGGTGTACCTGGATGGGAGGAGGGACCACGTTCTGATTCCTTCCTTCCTTCCTTCCTTCCTTCCTTCCTTCCTTCCTTCCTTCCTTCCTTCCTTCCTTCCTTTTTTTATCCTCACCTGAGTATATGTTTCCATTGATTTTTAGAGAATGTGGAAGAGAAAGGGGAAGACAGAGAGAAACATCAAAGTGAGAGGAATACTTTGATTGGTTGCCTCCTGCATGAGCCCTGACCTGGGTCCAAGCCAGGGAGGAGCCTGCAACCTAGGTACCTGCCCTTGATCAGAATCAAACCTGGACCCTGTGGTTGGCAAACCTAGGCATTATCCACTGAGCCAAACTGCCTAGGGCAGGTTATGACATTTCTTAGCTCTCCAGCAGCGGACCTTTGTTTTTTCCCCCAGGAGTGTGGTGGAAAAGCCCTAGATCACTTTTTTGGATTCTTATACTCAAGTTACTAAGAATATTACCAGTGGCATACAGGGAGCTTAGCCAATGAGTCATAAAAGGTGTTTTCTCTGTAGTTCACACCTATATTCTCCAATCTCCAGCTCTGCCCCTGCCAAGGCCTAAAGCCTCCAGCCCTTGGCAGGGGACCCCAGCTGGCTCTGATCCCTCGCAAGGACCCCAGCTGGATCAATCGCCTGGCTCCACCCACAGCCAAGGTCGCAAGCCTCTGGCCAGGCTTGGGCTCTGGGCAGACACCTCAGCTTGCTCCAATCGCCTGCAAGGGACCCCAGCTGGCTCTGATCGCCCAGCTCCAATGGCCCAGCTGTGACCATGGCCAAGGCCAACAAGGGCAGGTAGAAAGCTTGGCTTCCTCCATTGCAGGGGAAACCCAAGTTTCCTTCCTTTTCTCCATGTCCTGCAGCCATCTTGGTTGGGTTTATTCGCTCCTGATTGGCTGGTGGGCATGGCTTGTGGGTGTAGCAGAGATGTGGTCAATTTGCATATTGCTCTTTTCTTATATAGGATGGAAGCCTTCACAAAGGAAGGAGTTGAGGAAGGGTGCCTTCCCTTACTTTTATTTGTATTTGATCTCAACTCTTCCAAAAAATCTGAGGTCTCAATTACTGAGCTTTTTGTAACCCTACCTTTGAGGGTATTTCACACTTCATTTGCTTGTATTTGATTGTGTTTAAAGAAATTCTTTATATATTCAGTGCAAAATCGACATTTACTGTTGGTATGATACCAATTCCTCAGCGATTTCGGTAACCTCCAATCTCTTTTGCTTGGGAAACACCAGACTCTGACTGCATTAACTTCTATCTCCTTGTTGAA